CAACTCTAAAACATTCTTGATATTCAAAAACAAACTAATCTTAGCCTATCCTACTAGTACAAGCATGCATAGCAGATTATTTTTTAAAATAATTCATTTCCATTGTAATGCTCAGGCTATTGTCTCATTTACAGCATAATCCTATTTTTTTCAAAATTAAGAACTGTTGAATTAATTTTATTGCAAATAAGTGCTAAAACTCTACAGTCTGAATTGGAAAGAAATTGTATACATTTTAATAATCTGTCACCAACACATCATGGTATAGTATCTGTAAATATTTACCATACTTATCTTGATTTGGAAATATAAATGATATTTTATAAACTTCAGAACCTGTTGAAAAAGAATATACTTTTACTGATCTTTAAAAGTATTCTTCTCCCTAAATGTAAAATATAAACAGAACGAGTTTAAAGTAGTGGTTAAGACACAGAAACCAGGAAATTCTGAGATCTAAGCCTTCCTTAAGCATGAAAACCGGCTAGACTAGAGGACTTTGGGCTTGTTGCTTTCATTCTAGTCGCCTCTCATCTAGTCGCTTCTCATCAGCCCAGCCCACCTCACATACATACGTACATTTACATACATACATGCATGCATGCATGCATGCACACACAGACAGAGAATAATAATCATCATCTGATCTGCTCAAGCTTAGTTCATTCCATCTGTCACCCATAAAGTATTCTACACTTAACTCAGTGTTTCTCAACCTTGACAATTTTAAGGCATGTGGACTTCAACTCCCAGAATTCCACAGCCAGCATTGCTGGCTGTGGAATTCTGGGAGTTGAAGTCCACATGCCTTAAAATTGTCAAGGTTGAGAAACACTGATTTGAGTGCAAACCCATTTCACTGGAGAAGTGCAATTTCTTCCTGTACTGAAACTGACATAACTTTTTGATTTCGATCAAGAAATATCTTCCTTTTTTTTGTTTTACTTTTTTAACCAATCATTCCATCAAGGAGATTGGAATCGCTACTCACCGGACATACTTTGGAAGGTGCACACACGCGGTTGCTATGACGACAAGATTTACAGGAAGCGAAAGATTTTACTTCCAGGTGATTGTCGAATGCTGGTTTCAGCTGAGATTGCAGGCGGGAGCGGATGTATCTTCTAAGAATCGTTAGCGGCAAGAGAAAGAGGTTTGTAATTATGGGGAGGGAGGGGGGGATATAGTGCCTTTCGGGCGATCTTTTCTAATGCGGTAAACCTTCCGTTGGCTTACCAGTTCCTTAACAACAGGGCAAATGTACGGAGAGTAGAAGGATGGAGAGCCATGGGATCGAGGAGGGTGTTTTGCAACATACAGGGAGGCTGTGAGCTTTCTGAAAAAGTCTCTG